GGAAGAGATATATTGATGATAAATTATAAGTACATTTCATTTATAAGTTTCGTAATTTTAATTTCCTATATGATAGTAGTAAATTACATTTGTTAATATACAATTTGTTATTTATTTAATTTGTAAGCTTAAATCATTATGATTGACTTATGATGTTGGACTAAACATTAGAAGTGACCTAAAAAACTACTCGTCTCAATATTTATGCTAATGTGACTAATTAAAAAATAAATTTCGAATCATTATTATATGGAGATCATGTGATAAGAATTTAATAGTACACAATTTTTTACAAAAATTAATTTAATTCAAAATTTCAGTATGGAAAATATGTACCCAACTTTATGTTATGTTTGATCATGATTCGGGTAGGAATTTGAAATGAGAAAGAAAAATATAAGTGAAATGTGATTGAAATATAATTACATTTACTTATTTATACACCTTTTCATTTTCCCTTTCAAAATTTCTACCCAAAACTATGAACCAAACACATCAATATGTGAAAGGAGTGTTGGATACTTATTGTATTGATATACACTATCTAAAAAAACCTATATAATATTTGATGGAGAAGTAAATTCTTAAAATAGATCATCAATTATATTATAAGGAAATAAAGCTAACCGATAAAAGATTTTTTAATTATTTAAAAAATTAAATATCAAGAGAAATAATCTATAGAAGATGTAAATTGATCTCTATATTGTAGTGGTACAAAAACTAAATTTTAAAATTGATCCTTTTAAAATTTTAAAATTTAAATTTTAAATGGATTAATAAATTTTCTTTTTGAAATGTATAAATCAAGGCATAATAAGATTTTTTTTTAAGTGATTCAATAAAAGCTAAAAAGATTTTTTATTTTTTTATTTTAATAATTTAAAACTGATTTAGTTAACTTTCCTTTTCAAGATTTTTTAAATTTAAATTTAACAATGAATTAATTAACTTTCTTTTGAAATGTGTAAATCAAGATATAATAAGATTTATTTAAATGATTCAATAAAAGTTAGAAGATTTTTTAAAATTTTAAAAACTGGTTAGTTAATTTTCTTTTCAAATTTCTAAATTTAAAGTTATAAATGGATTAATCAACTTTTCTTTTCAGATGTGGTGAATTAAGGCATAATAAGATTTTTTTAATGATTCAATAAAAGTTAGCCAATAATTTTTTTTTAATTATTTAAAAAATAAGAATTCTAAAAAAATAGTATGAAAATTTTGAATTTCGCAAGACTCTTCTCATTAAAAATCTCTTTTTTTCTTAATATATCTAAGTAGAATGATTATTTTGTTCTTCTAAACAAAATAATTATTCTTATTAAATTGGTGAAAGATAATTTTATTCCAGCCTTTATTCATTAACTTGACAGCACTAAATTCATTCCTCGTCAGTAATTAATTGCGCAAACAAGGATTTCTCTAGCTTTTTGAGGTTTGACACCACTACTTTTTATTCCTTGTCTTTAATTAAATCTATTGAGTGTGAATGAGAAGCAATGGTGATTAGTAGTTCTAAAAGTAAAATTTTAAACAGAGTTTTATTGAGTTGGCACCTTTAAAAAAAAAAAAATTAAGTCAAAATATCACATTAAGGTGGGACCCACACCATTACCACCTCATTAGAGCAGTTCTAGAATTCTGAAACATTTTTTGAATATGAAAATAAGGACATTGCTTACACGAGAGTTTGAAAATAAGAACAAATAAGGACATTGCTTACACGAGAGTTTGAAAATAAGAACAAATAAGGACATTTTTAAAACAAGGGTATTGAAAATAGTAATTGGTAGAAATAAAGGACATTTGTACACGGGACCACCTAATAATTTTTCTCTCCTCTCACCACCATAGTTAATTAGAAAAAATTATGAATAGTACTTAGAGTATATATATATCTTACTTACATAATACTCATGGCTAATAGAAAATCACAACACACAAAAACAGGCTGTTCATTATTTCTTAACTAGTTAATATGGTAGATCAATATTACTTTGTTGGTAAAATTTTTACTTCAATATTGGTTAAGAGCGCTCTAAAAAATAATGTCACATCATATTTCAAGATCACTCGATAATTGTTTAATAGTCCTTTGTTTATATGGTGTTCCAAATCAATCGTAAATTTTTTACAAGTGAGACATTCTAACTTAGTTGATAATTAAATATGTGTAATATAAAGAGTAACAAATTTAGAGGATAATTAATCAGTGACCAATGATGTATTGGAAAATTTTATAAGTAAAACATATAAGTTGTTCCGTAGTAGTTGAAAACAAAGAACGACTAATCTAGTGTATATAGCAATTTCTTGTTAGTCGGAAATACTACACAAACAATATCATATAATATTATTCTTAATGTTTCATCATATACGTAATGTTATGATGCATACCTTTTATCATATGTAAGTTATGACATTTATGGATTTGATTTTCATAAATGTCATAACTCAATCTTATGGGAGTTATAACTAAAAATAATAATTTATAATCAAACACTACATAGAATATAGGAAAATGTTTAGGAGCTTTAGAAAAAGACTTCTAATGCTTTAATGTATGTGTGGGTCTCATTTGATGTGATGTTTTGGCTTTGTGTTTTTTCTTTCCAATCATTAGAGCTTAATTAAAGTTCTAATTTTAGAAGGATAAATCAACAACTATAAATATAATCAAAAAACTATTGGATTATAACTTATGGGAAGAAAAAAATGAGCTATAACCAAACAGTATATAAGGTATAAACCAAAGAGCTCTTAAATTATAATCAAAATAATATCGTACTTAATATCATAATAAGTCATAACTAATATCATCACAATAAATTCTAATCAACGTTTAAGAAGGTAATCAATAAATTTTATTTTATAATAATCCAATAACATCTAATAATTTTCAGACAAGGACATATTCGAGCAGCAATAAAGTGCGCGAATAAAGTTTACATAATATTATTCTGCCTTCAATTTCATATCTATATCTATCTAAAAAGACATATTTATTATTTATTGTCTCCTAATAAAGTTCACATACTATTTTATTCCATTATATAAATAGCATAAACTAGTGCTAGTAGTAACTAATTTAACAGAATTGAAGGGGCAGTTAATCGGCAGTTAAAATGAAGATTAAGCTACTAAATGTAGAGGAAGAGGTGATGATGAGTCTGAAGAAGAAGAAGAAGACGGTGGTGAAGAGTTGACGGTTGATGAAGAGCTTCAGGGCTCTATCAGAAAATCGTCATGGAAGAGTCGACTCAGCTTCGTCGGGCTGTTCCGAACTGAGTCCGGTGGTGAGTTGACTCGGGGTACTGCCAGT